AGAATCAGCTACTGTAGGCTGTCTGACCCACTGCTTTTTGCTGCTCTGCAATTGCTCACTTGTCTCCACAGCAGTTCAGCTGAGGTATTGTTGAGGAACCTTTAACTAAATTGACAGCGAACGCGGTTGAAGTGAGGGTTACTATTCTCTGTTCTTACTTGCTTTTAGTCTCTCTCACTGCATATTTAAACCTTGCTGCTGTTGGGAACTGTTCGTGGAGCTGGTGGGCCCCTGTCCTGACCCACTAAGGCAGTGCTGCTGCCCAGTTCTGTCTCCCCCAGCCTCTCTGCTGCCCTGTAGAAAAATGGCAGAACTGCATTGGTCTATCTGAAAGAATTTGCCTATTTCATTTGCAAGTTGTGCCAGCCAGTGCGCTCCAGAACTATCAGAAAGACAGTGAAATAAATAAAGGCTGCTGCTATAGTACTTTCTCTGGAAACTTTCACATTCGGGTGTTCTGAAGTCATTGGGACTGTGCAATTAGGGCAAAGAGGATTTAGTTTTTTTAGATATGTTTGTAAACTCTTGCATATTTTCCAAGTTTACTTAACTGCACTAAACCCTATAAATATTTGCATGTTCTAAAGAATAAATTTAATAGCACCTTAGCTGAAGTAGTTTGGTTTTAGCAGCTAGGCTAATTGTGGGCTTGTTTAATCTATGGGTAGTATCTGATATCTAACAAAGAAGATGGTTGTAACGGTTGTGGCAGGAAAAATGCAGGATCAAGATGGTACAAATAGTTGTTATTGGGTGATTAATGTTTTTTAAGTTACTGAAGGTTATTTAAAAAAAATAATCTCTATCATGTATCTTCTTATGTATACTGAGATTGCATATTCCCGATCTGTGCTATGTAAGAGTCGGGGCTTTACTAGAAGAAGAAAAAACCTTGGCTCCTGGTGCTGTGAAAGAATATTCCAATAAGAGGAAATGTCTGAACTGCAAATAGGAACACAATTGAACCTGTAAACTCAGAATACTAACTTGTACTTGTATTTTCTCATGGCTTGGGTGCAGCACTTGGCATTCTGTCCTGTCACTTAGGATGTCAGGCTATAGTCATGTGTTTGTGCATTAAGCAA